GATGTCGGAATTGACAGCATTGTGTCAAAATTGACAGCATTGATGTTGGTATTGATGGCGACATTGTCGGCATCGACAAAAATGTTCGTAGCAATCGCCATAGGCATTGACTAGGCAGTGTTATTAAACATTGCCTAACTTTGGCAGTAGTCCAGGAGGCAGTGAAATTTTTTAGCACTTTCTCCCAGTTGATGTCTATTAAATAGTTTGTTCTCCTGGTGATACATAGCAAGAATTTTTGAGTCTGGCTAAAATTTTCGGATGGGTTCACAAGATCAATCAAAAATACAAGTACGCTTATTTTCCCAGACATAAATATTTCACATTTACTACAATTGATACACAAGTATATGAAAATAGCAATTTGGCTTATCTCAGATAGTGAAAGTGAGTTTGGCTGAAAATTTTCGGATCTTCAATTTTTCACTTGCCAGACATATTATCCATACTCACAGATTAGCCGGACAATTTTTTTATGTAACTTCAATATACTTGTCATTAGTAGACCTATTTTTATCAAGAAGAAAAAAATGGGCCGTGCATTCGTAAGGTTTAACGCATTTTGCGCCTCAACATATCGGAAAACCCCCCCTAAAAATTTATGTATTCTGCTTCGAATAATTAGGGTCAACTGGGGTAAATGTAAATGGGGGTAACTGTAAACGCAGGTATTTTTAGTTTTAAATTTGGCATTTTGAACGAATGGCCGCCATAATACATTACATACATCCCACACATGACCACTCCAACAAATTCGGCTTCCCGGCATCCATTGTTCAGTCTGCTATTACTGCTTTATGCAACAGGTGCAAATATTTAGAAAATAAAAGTGAAGTAAAGTGCAATATTGATAAATTTTCAAATTAATTAAAGGTATGTATCAATTAAATTATGTTACTGGGCTTTGTGAAGGTCCATTATTTATCGTAATTTGTTAATATATTCTAAAACTTTGTTTATATTGCTGTTAAAAAAGTGTTTACTTTCACCCCAGTGGTGACTGGCTTTGGGTAAATGTAAACGCGGATTTGGGGTAAATGTAAATAGGTGTATTTAGTCTAAAATTAACAAAAACCTAAAAATTATGTCCTTTTTTTGTTTAAGATGCCTAGAAATTATATTTAAAAGACCAATGGTCCTTCATACACACAACAAGATTTACAACGAGCCATAGAAGACATCCAAAATCGTAATAAAACATGCCGACAAGCTCAGGCTTTTTATGGCGTTCCCATTGCTGTTATTTGCCAAAGAGTCTCTGGAAATAGGACTGCCATAGATTGTATTTTTCATTGGTATTTTCTGAGGAAGAAAAACAGTGCTTTCAGCAGAAATTGCTGGACTTTTACCTGTGCCCATGATAAAAAATAAGGAAACCCGCATATTTTACCATTTTGTTAAAAAAAAATCCTGTTTCTGAAAAGTAAAAGATTTTTTAATTACTCTGTAGAGTGTAATCATTTTATTATCTATTTTGTTTTTAATAATCTGTACCAAAGTCTGCACCGAAGTATTAAAAGTTATAGAGCTTCTGTTTTAGGTACTTATATAATATTTAAAACTTGGAAAAAATTTGTTTTTTTTTTTTGCTTTTAAGTAGGTACTTATAGTTCGCCTTAAGAGTCTAGCACTAGGACGTCTGAAGGGCAAGGGGGAATAACGCCATTCATTTCGAGCTTTATGCTGCCTGTCATAGGCGTGCGCGCAGCGTTTTAAAATATTATTTTTTCCTTATAAATGTAGGTTTGTAACATAGATAAATATTAGGGTATTTTCTATTGGATGTCTAATATGCAATATTGCAATTTTTTTATCCGCATTCTTTCCATAGTGCTAGACTCGTAAGGCGAACTTTACCTCAAGAGTGTTTTTAGTTTTAGTTTGGGTTGTATTCATATTTTCTGTAGTTAACTTAAGTTTAGATGATTTTATATGTCTTTATTCACTTTTACTTTTAACAATAAAGACTCAAAAACACATGGGTATATATTGTTATTAATTTAATAATCTAATTCTGGGGTAATTGTAAACATCGTTTGAGATATTTATACTTCTAACGAAAAAAAACGGATTATCGATTTGTTCACATTTTCCCTTTTGTAACCATATTAAAATGAAATGTACAGATATGGAGTGTTTACATTTACCCCCAATGTTATGGGTAAATGTAAACACCACACCTATTTTTAAGGACTTAAAATAAAAAAGAAATATTGTCTTTTTGGAAGTTTTTATATTAAACATCCAAACCAAATACATGAAATAAAAGGCTACTGATATTTATTGATTGCATCTTGAATAATAAGAGGAACAAAACATTTTTTTGGGAAATTGTAAACAAAGCTAATAAAACCGTTTACATATACCCCAGTTGACCCTACTAACCCTACAATTCTATCCATGTTGTCTGACTGGGAAAATAAGTACCGAAAATCGTCACTGCCTCCTAGACTACAGTGGTGTACACATTTTTGGGTAGGTGAAACACCCTTCAGGTTAAATATAAATCACAAGATAAATCAGTCTTCAACAAAAGTTAAATTGTTACTTAATGTTAACTTTTGTTAGTAATAATTGTTTTTCACAACTTATAAAATTACCTATTATAGATTCTATTTTTTCAATTTAATTTTTGATTGTTTAAACTAGGTATTTTAATACCCTCCAAGACACCTCCCTAAAGATAAGTGAAAACATAAGACCAATAAGAAGGTACCTTAGTGAATGATTTAGATTTTTCTAATAAATTGAATGCCTGCACATGTTTAATTTCAATCAATTCTTTGAAAGTAATGTGAAGTTGATTTAAAAAGTTCAGAAATTACTAGCAAACTTGCTTGAATCTCAACTCACAACTTAGGAAAAATGTTTAGGTATTTGAAACTCAATGGTGACAATGCTCTTAATAGTACGGGATACGAGGCCTATTTCATCAAATCATTTTACACCGTCTTGCATTGTTATCATCAGTTAGATAACATGATGCTGAAACGCACTTGCGCAGTGAAATATATGGGAGTGGGGAATTTAGCTGATAAAAATGTTTGAGAAAATGTCGTCATAATCCAGGAAAATATACAATTTCACACCGTCTTGCATTTACTTATTAAGTTAATTTGTACACAAACAAAATTAGAATACCCTATGCAAGACATTTTCCTGGGGGTTTTCGGGTTGTAATATTAGATAGAAATTGTCAATTTTTCAGAGGGGTGAAATATCATTTCACACCACTCAATTGTTGATTTAGATTAAAGCTTGAATGTAGAATAGCCATTGGATACTGATGCAAGACGTACTGTGAGGGGATAATGGGCTGCAAGACAGAGGTCAATGTGTTGTCTTATGAGGGAGGGAGAAATCATTTTACACCGTCTTGCACTGGTACTTATGGGAAAAATAGAACACATTGATAACATTTTTAAAAATACAAGACATTCTAAATGGGAAGAAAGGACTGCAAGACGATGATGAAGTTGACTAATTTTGACAAGGGTCAATCTATCAGGTACAAAGGTGAATACTACTTCAAATTACAAATTATGCACATTAATTTTAAATAGTTTTGCTCTTCACCACATAGAATAATTCTATTTTGCGAAATTCTCCTAATAATATGTATATATGAATGTTTCTACGGACATCAAATAAAAAAAGATTGAAAATTGTTTTATTTTTGACAGCTTTTAATCATTTAGGTTCTCTTTGAGGTGGATATCCCATGACACATAACATGTTTTGTGCACATAACAGATTGTAAGCATTAAATTTGAAGAATTTCATTTTAAAGCAGCAAAAAAATGTGAAAATGACACAACAAATGATCTGTCTGAAATTGTAAACAAAAATTATAATTCCTGTATTCAACAGACTCCCCTGTTGAGCTGCTATGTCAACTGTCCTTTTTCATCTGTATGATTTAAAAAAGAATAAACATTGAACGGTTCAGTAAATAACTCAACAGTTCAGTGAAAAAATTAAAATGGATTTTTTAACTTTTTTCCCAGAAAAAACGTCTTGGACTGATGTAATACCATTTCTTAACATAGATTCTTTCGGCGGACATAAGCATGAAGTGGTGTAAAATAATTTTTCACTCCCTCATGAGACAACACATTGACATCCGTCTTGCAGCCCGTTATCCCTCTACAGGACGTATCAGTATCCAGTGGCTATTCTACATTCAAGCTTTGATATAAATCAACAATGGAGTGGTGTAAAATGATACTTCACCCCTCTCAAAAATTGACAATTTCCATCTTATATTACAACCCCAAAACCCCCATGAAAATGTCTTGCATGTGTTAATCCAATTTTGTTTATGTACAAATTAACTCAATAAATAAATGCAAGACGGTGTATAATTAAATATTTTCCTCGTTTATGATGACATTTTCTGAAACATTTTTTTCAGCGAAATCCCCCACTCCTATCTATTTCCCTGCACAAGTGCGTTTCAGTACCATGTTATCTAACTGATGATAACAATGCAAGACGGTGTAAAATGATTTGATGAAATAGGCCTCGTATCCCGTACTATAAGCTTATGTCCAAGACTATGATCATACAAATTGATAAAATTACTCTCAAATTGAAATCATGTATTGGACATGGATATCTCGATGGACATATCTAATTTACTGCAAGCTTTTCAGCTTGATATTCCAGTTAGTAGATATCTTAAGACCCAGCTAAATTCTAAATCCATGAACTTTGCATAAATAACTAAATACTGAGGTAAATAAATAATTATCTTTCGGCTTCACATATAAAATATTCAAGGTTCTTTAAACATAAATATTTTAAACATCAAAAATAAATAAGATAGATATGCAGTGACACAAAAGAATTTACTATTTACTCAAAATAGATATACCTACGACCTTTTATACAGTAGGTACAAGTGGGACGTTAATAAACTATAAAAATAGATTCTGCTCATCTGGTCTACTTAAATTATTTTTAGTACAATGATTTATGTTACAACTTTTTTAACTTACCCCCTTCCAAGAATACTTCAAGTTGGCCGACCATACTTTTTCTTAGCTCAGCTTCGGACTTGTCTTTTTTTATAAGAGCTAGAACATATTTAGCCAGTGCAGCTGGATCAGCTTCACACCTAGAATTTGGAAAAAATCCAATTAAATTCTAATTGGCAAATAATTTATGTCATTATGACCAAAATAATTGAGGTTATGATTTTTTAGGAGGCTGATGTAAAAATACAAGCATTTCTTGTATTATTTGGTGTTGATTGAGTTAATTACGAAGACGAACTAATTGATGAGGGTTTAATAAATATGTTGTCCAAACATGGAAAGAGTCGACTTACATGGGTTTTAAAACAGCTGTTAACCAATTTTTGAAAGCGTCCATTTGTTCCACAATCATTTTAAAAAGTTTATTTGATGCCTAAATAATAATAATTCACAGGGCTGACTATCACAAATATCACTAATTTTCCAGCAACTTGGATTAAAATCCAATCCAAACCACCTAACCATACACTGACGAATGACAACGCAACGACAATTTAACCACAACAATTTTAGTCCGCCATTTTTGATTAGGGAAAAGAAAAGTGAAAGGTGAAAGAAGGAATTCGCCATGGAAAATAGCTTCGTTCGCGGAAGGACTCAAAACCGACTCCGAACTTATTCGCATGCGTAGCGGTTTAACCTTTGGGTTCAACTAGAATCGTTCCGGAGTGGTTCAACTAGAATCGGTTCCGGATCGATTCCAAACTAGCTCTATCGGCTCTAGGGATTCAACAAAAACTGTTCAAGTCATGAGCAGTGAGTTCCGAGTTTTCCATTTCACAGAAATCGTTCGCGGTGAAATAAAATCGAACTGGTTCCTAAGGTGCTCCTGATCTGAGGTTTGTTTGTTTGTGTTGTTCCGGGCAACACTTCCTGCTTTGAGGCATTCGTTTCCGAGAGTTTTATATAAATTTTCTGCCATAATCTGAAATATTACAGCTTTAGTTCAAGTTAGTGCTTACGAACAAACACTTTTCTCACCTCCCTAGGTGCAACTAACTAAATTCCTTTTCTTGAAGTTATAGGTTTCTGCTGAACAGCATATTTGTTAACGCTTAATTTCAATTTGATTCGTATAAGCAGTCGCCATTTTTGAGAGCATAACTTTCGCGAATGCTTGCTGTGATCCATTGCCATTATGCTCCGTTCGAACTGTTTCGGAATGCAAAGCTAGACAAAGGAAAAATATTGAAAAATTTATTTTGGAATAATTGTACTAAAATTGAAGGATTCAGAACCTCTGAACTATTTGCATTCGTCGTTCGCTAATCGCTGATCATTAGATTGCAGATTGCGATTAGTTGCAGTGTTTTTGGAGTGGTTCAACTAGAATCGATTCCGGAGCAGTTTAACTAGAATCGGTTCCGCGGATCGGCTATAGATTTATCAACTTGTTCTATCGGTTTTAGGGATGGATTCGGAGTGCATTATCCACGAACAAAGCTATTTACACACGCGTTGTGTTAAAAGCAAAAATTTAAAAAAAAATGCATTCTGGATTTCTGGAATAACTGTACCTACTAAAATTCAAGGATTCAGAACTTCTGGGAACTATTCGCTGGGGTTCGCTGTTTATTAAATTCCAAAATACGTGTAGCAGTTCTTTGAGCGATTCAACTACAATCGGTCCCGGATCGATTCTGTCTGAGCTAATTTTATCGGACAGTTCCAAGTTTGCGTTCTGTAAAAGTTACCGATCAGTATGGTGCGGTTCGTCTGCACTGAGGCGTTTGTTATAACGGTTAGTGCAAATAGTAGCCGCTTTCCAGTATGCACATTGGCGCGCTCTAGGGCGCCACGCACTAGATTTGTACCGTTCCAGTATCATGACGTGGGACGCCTGTGTTAGTGTCAAATATGTCAAATTTTAAAAATAATTATTTTGTTGGTGCCGTTTGTTTTTTTATTTATCATAAATGAAAGAGAATCAAAACTATATTATTTAATATGTTCAATCTTGAGATATAACAGGAAATAAATAGATAAATAGCCACCCACGGATGTGACAGCTGACAGGTTGACGCGTACGTACAGCTCGGGAGCTCAACGCCCCGAGTATGTCCGGGCGTCACACTCCCATACTGGAAAGCGGCTAGTGTTTAAGGCTCATCCTCAATCAATTTAGTAGTGAAGTGGCACTTCGGCACGCAAGCTAGGAAAATGTTGTTTAACGTTGGCATCCTCAATTCAATTTCGTGCTGGCATGCACGTCGACTCTGAAGTGAAAGTTGCAAGCTGCCAGCTATTTCGATGCGTGCCGACTTATGTCATGCGCAGTACATTAAAAAATAATTTAGGTTATCCTTGCGTTCGGTATTTTGATCAAAGAGCGGAGCGGAGCCGTAATCACGTAACCAGCGAGCGCACAGAGCAGTTAAACGCTGTATCAGAGGGCTCGAAATTTTATTAAACGAACGTGAATGAGCCTGAACCGAGTACACTTTTTGAATAAACGAACGGTAAATTCATGCTCAGAGAACTCAGATCAAAATACCGAATGCACGGTATGTGACCGTACTACACACAGAGCAGACTGAAAGTTGACAGCATTGAGGATAGGTATAAATTTTCCAGCACGCGTGCCAAAGTGTCACTTCGCTACCAGATTGATTGAGGATGTAGCTTTAGGCGTTTGTTATTTCAGTGTAGGGTGCCCAATCTTGCCCTATTTACTTACATCTGCTCAAGAGGAGGTGTAACAATTACAGAATGGGAAGGGGGCGATAATTTTTAAAAGCTACTCCAATGAAGCTGCCTTTAGGTTAGAAGATAGGGAATCTCCATCTTCCTCTATAATTTCCGACAATAAAACCTTGTAAATTTTGTTCTTTTCATTAATGTTACACATTCTCTTCTTGGTTAGTTTCCACTTTATTCTACTTGAATAATATAACTTTTTGAAGTAGAGAATAATCCGCTCCTATCGCTGCACGAACTGCACTAACGCGTTTGGTAGTTTTCCTTTTAAACTCATGCGTGCTGGTGCCCATCAGCTACACTTAGCTGCACCAGCAGTCTGCACTGACCTATCCTACACGTGAATAACCAACTCCCCTAACGCCCTCCCAAACCAAATTTTAGGCCTGCGAGTGGCGTCACTATCAGCAGCTTACAGTGATGACGTCACTCGCAGACCTCGATGGAATGCTCGCGTTTTAGGCTGTGCTAGTGAGTTAATTTTTACGTCGATTTTAAATGTAGAAAAAGTGATTTTCAGTCTGTTCTCACAGAAGAAATTCAGTGTTCTTGATCCTCGAGTATCCCAGAATTTGTTGGAGGTGGAGCTAGGCAGAGCTGTCACAAATACTGGAAAATAGTATTTCAAATACCAAGTATCAATTACGAGAAATTCGTGTTGCAAGTACAAATACTAAATACTTTCAATTTGAAAAGTATTTCAAGTTTCAACAAAAGTATTTGAATTATACTACTTCAAATACTAAAAAGTAATTGAAATACATTTTCCAAGTAATTTACTTGAAGTACTGACAGCTCTGGAGCTAGAGGAGTATGTCACATCACATAATCCAGCATAATCGATTATTCTTGAACGTCACCTATAAGTGATTCATGAATGGATTCATGAACTAAAAAAGTAAAACACACGCGGTGTTTAAAGAAAAAATTGCAAAAACTATGTTCTCAAATTGTACTGAAATTTTATATGGACTCAAGAAAAATAACCAATAAGACTGACTATTGAGCTGAAAGTGTCTGACGGCGATTTCCATTTGTCAGTCAGTGCGCACTGAGTGTATCTGCATCTTTTTCTAGAAGCATGTAACATGTAAGAATAAGGATACATTTTTTTTTGCACTGGTACCACAAATGGAAATCGCTATAACATATCCACGCGACAACTCTACACTATTTGTGACGTCAACCGCAGACCTCCACTCGTAGCGTAGAATGAATTATTCAAGTTTAAAACACAATAGGTCAAAAAAACGAATACCTATAAACGTTAAAAGGCACAGCCTGATTCGAGAGCAATCCATGGAGGTCTGCGAGTGACGTCACCAGCTGCTGAAAGTGCGGTGTCTTCACCCGCAGACTCGCCGAACAACACACAGAACATAAAATTTGGCTGATTATTCCACTCATATGTTAGAAATCCCATAAGACAAGTGACGATTTTCAGAATTACAGCGAAAATTCTCTCTCTTTCCATTTGTTTAACTAGAGAGAATTACAGCGATAAGTCTCCCATATTATTGTATGTATACATGGTTGTCATGTTAATTTTTGATACAAACAAACGGTTCCTGATAGCAACCATTCATTTGTATTGATTGTTAAGATGTTTAAATCGTTTAATACATAATTATTTCCATATTTTTTGCATTTTCATACGTTAAATAATCCTCTAAATACCACTTGAGCTTTAAAATGAACCAGATAATTTTTCACTCATGCGTGTTTTCTCTGCAAATTTCACTCGTCCTACGGACTCGTGAAATTATAGAAAACACGCAATCGTGAAAAATTATCGGTAATTTTGAAGCTCTCGTGGTATTATCCCCGATAATACACTGAATATGTACATATAACTAGAGAGGGTTCTTATTAAACCTCTCAGAATGGCAACAATTGTTTTAGGCTGACACATAGTTCAAAGACTATTCTGTTATGAAATATCCCTACTTTATAAAAAAAAATAAGCAAATATTTATTATAGTCATAGGAAAATTTTGGATTAATTTTCTTTGCTATTCCATCCACAGACGCGTTTCGACCTGTCAGATCTCGTCAGTGTGGCTAGGAAAGCAAAGAAAACCAATCCAGTATTACTTAGCGAATATATATTTATTATTTTTAAATTTATTTACATCTTTTATAAGTAAACATTCTGGATTAAGAAGCTCTTCTCTTTATAGATATTTTGCCTCTAGCCAGACTGGCCAAGAAAAACCGCAATTTTTCTCCATTCTGTTTCTTAACATAAATACAGTCGTTTCCAACAGCCGATATTGTAGCTGCAGTTTTGGGTTGCTCTTTTCCTTCGACAAATATGGATTGGCCTCTGTGAAACCAACGTTTTTCAAAAAGTAGTTTGCCATCTTCGATGCGCGTTTCTATCAAGGCTTGCTGCTGGAAAAAAAATAATTTAATTGTTTAATAAATTTTGGATTAATCTTTTACCTCTGTTGCACTTTGCAAACTTCCCAGAGCATTATTAGCATGATTGGGGCTGCACATTGAAGAAGAACTTTCACTTAACTTCCTCAGAGGAATTAAAGGTTTTTCTTTGAGAAGCCTCAAATCGTTGTCAATGTCTTTTTCATCTAATAAATAAGTGATTTGGGCGCTGGGCACTTTTCTGCGTTTCTCTGGCATTGGAATAGGTTCATTAGGTCTTCTTCTCAGTTTTCTTGTTACTGTCGGTTTTACTTCCATAGAGTCTCCAGTAAGTTCTATGGAAGATCTCTCAGCCTCTATGGTGCGTTTTTTGTCTTCTAAATCTGATATTAGGTTTTCTCTAAGGTCAATTTTTTTTTCTTCAAAATCTTTGGCTGCCGCTTTGATTTCTTGTGCATAGTCCCTTTTTACATAATCAATCATGACCTCCCTAAAAAAATAAAATAAAAATGTCTGCAAATTATACTGAGTATAACAAATAAATATGTACTTGTAAATTTCATTTAATCGAAGCCTTTCTCTATACAGGGCTTCCAATTTCTTTACTTTTTTGTTATATTCGAGATGGGAGCCGTCTTTAAGTTGAGCTAGTTTTTTCTTCAACGTCGCCAGTTTGTCTTGGTACATTTGTTCTTTGATTTCCAGCTGTTCAACTTGGCGACCTATAAAAAAAAGTGTGCATGGCTTTAAATGAAAGCAAACAAAAGTTGATCAGCTGAAAAATTTCATTAGGAAATTTGTGGAAGGAGTCTTGTTGTATGTTCGTGGGTCAGTTTAGTTGTATGTTTGTGGGTCCTAAATAATGTTTTTTTTTTAAAAAATCTTGTGGTTTTATTCGTGTATGTCCTTTTTACCTGTATCAGTTTCGCTAGCATCTTCAGTGTCCTCGTCACTGTGTACTATATTTTGTTCCTGGTGGTATTTCTCTTCATTTTCATCTGTTTTATCGTCCTCAAACTCATATTCGTGATTATTGAAAGAGTTTGAATGAGGTGATCCAAAAAATGCCATGATGGTGCTTCCTGCTTGTTAAATTGTAAATTTATGCTATAAACAAAATGTTTTTGAACTTTTTAACTAATATTTGCATGGAGGAAGTATTGTATAAAAAAAAATCAACAAACAACAACAGTCAAATGAGCGTCAGCGTCTTGTCAGTAGTTTGTGACGTCACGGTGGGTGTTGCCAGCTGTTGGATTTTTTCGTTTTTAGGAAATTCTAGAACCATAAAACAAGAATGGATAAACACATCACTGAATTTAAATATGCCATAGACCCTTCTCAAAATAAAGTTATACAATCCAAATAAATTTTCTAAAAAATCCAAGTAAATAGTTTATCAAAAGTAATATGCTGTAACCACAGTTTCAACTACTATCTAAAAACCATAGCCAAAACCCTCCCTCAAAAAAACAGAAAAATCGTTTAATCCTATGAAAAATAAACGTGAACAAACGTAGAATCATTCAAATCTTTTGATCTAGAATTTCGTTCCAATCGTTGTTCCGTTCAATAGAGTTGACAACTCTGCCGCAGTGCCGCACCATTAGCCCTTTTCACGTGGCTCCGGTTAACCAAACCGCGACATACCGCTCAATTCAAGTGGTATGGTTGACGTCACTTTGTAACCAGGTTAGGCAACGGTATGACAACTCTAACCAGCTCGGCGATATTGTTACGTTTAACGGTTAGAACAAAAAAAAAATATAAAATATGTTAACGGAGCGAGAAAATTGTGACAGGGGTAAACTTAATTAAAATAAATAATAGGGACATTCTTTTTCAAGATACCTGTGAAATTTTGGTGCAGTTACTAGAGGGTACATCAACCTATTATAAATATTGACAGGTGGTTAGATTGCCTTATTTAAAACATTTTTCTAACCGTTCGTTTTCAAGTGACATTTTCAGTGACGTCATCACTTGACATACCTCTAGTAACCGATTTTTAACCCGGTTAGTTTAAACCGGAGCCACGTGAAAAGAGCTATTAAATACTTTTTTGACATATTTTAGAGCTGGGCTGGGATCACGACAAGTAGAATGCTACTGGAATTCTACTTTCATGACGTCAGGTTGCCTAGCAACCGTCATCATCGCCTGTACTCTAGACGATAAATAGGTTGCGGGTGACGTCATGAAAGTAGAATTCTACTTGTCGTGATCCCAGCCCTGGTCCGAATCAAGGATAATACACACTACTCCACAGGATTGCTTATCGGCCTCGTTTTTGGGGATCGTAGCCATATAGGGCCAATGAGCTGTGGCCAATGTTCCTAAAGTTAATTTAACTTGTCTCAGACAACCTTGATATAGGGCAATCCAATCAAAATGGCGGCCGATGCTCGGTGACAAGCATTGAAATTGGCGCAATAAATTTATTTCAAACACTAGTGACAGTTTTTATTAAAACACTGTTTTTTGTGTATTTTGTGGTGTTTCAAGGTGATTTTTTTATTTTTTTAGTTCTTGGAAGGATAATGTTCGTCTTTTACGCTACCTATCCAGGATTGGTTTACCGTTTAGTTTTTTCTTAACCACATCCTGAATCCTGATGTTTATTTCATTTGTCTGCATCGACATAAGTTGAGAATAGTAAATGGCATGAAACGAGACTTTGTCACAATTAGAAGGGCTCGCACAACTAATACAATAAATAACGTATGGATTTTCCAAAAAATCAACACTTCACTTAAATCCGTCGATTTTAATCTGATATTCGACAGGAATAGTTAATAGTTGTATTTCTTTCAAGAGTTTAGAACACTCGAGCTACTCGTTCCGCAACTCCCCAATACGTTCAGAACACTTGGTAATCGCCACCATATTGGTTTTCGACTGTTTTCAACCATTGCCGACGTCATAACGAAGTCGTCAGCTGTGTAAACAGCCTACGTCAAGGCAAGAAATGCCATGCTGCTTATGTCCCAACTGGTTGTTTTTTTTAGGGGGGTAGGGGGGGATTTGTTACACACAGGCCTTATGAGGATAGGCCATCCTGTAGTAGTAGTAGTGTGTATCATCCTTGGTTGACAACCTACATTGGAACACCAATTGTCGCCTTCACACCTGTTCTTGCCATATTATACTTCACCCCTTCGCTCCTCATACGGAAAAAAATGTCAGATTAAAAACGACGAACTTTATTTTACAGACTTTACAAAAATGAAAAATCGCATTAAAACGTAGTGTATATAGCATTAGCCTCTATTTTCAATTTCTTTTTGACAGGTCGTTGGATTGCCCTATTGTGTAGCACCATTGACGACGTCATTAACTACGTCGTCAGCTGTTTGCGCCAGCGGTCGTAGTTTAGAATATACTATACTATACACTTATTAGGAAAAATATGATTCCATTTTGATTAACATACATCATAGGCAAAGAGAAAAATCCACTAAAACCAAGTATGCATAGAGCAAAAGCCCGCGAAATCATAACCTGTGGTGCAAGCACCCTATGTCAATGCGAGAAACAACATGCTGCTACGTCATCAATGGTTCTTTGGCGTGATTGGGGGCTTGAGATTTGATCTATACGTACACAGGCCTTATGAGGATAAACTATCAGTAGTAACGGAAGTAACCGAATCGGTTGACGAGTGGCTACTGCAAGTTCCGGTTGTCAATAAACCGAGGTCCAAATGTAACCACTTCTCCAGAGGAACAAGAATAATTTATTAACCTTCGGACCGAAGTTATGACGGTTACGCACTAATGGCCACCACAGCCGCCTAGCACCAAGGATAATACACACTACTAAGGATTGTTTATCGGCCTCGTTTTTGGTAATCGCTGCCATATTGGTGCGTCACCATTTCCGACGTCATAACTAAGTCGTCAGCTGTTTGCACTAGCGGTCGTAGCTTAGAATTTAAATTTATGAAGAAAATTATTATTTAATTTTGATTAACATAACAGAGGAAGATGAAAACAAGATCTAAAATAGAGTTGTTTTAGAATGTTAATTAGCGAAGTAAAACCAAAGCCGCTTTCGGGTGCAAAGTGCGAAGCTCCTAGAACACTTCACACCCATCATACTTCATCATGCGCTTTGTGCTCGAACGCTTGACAATCAAGTTACGTCTGATTCGTCAATTTTGACAAAAAGGCAAAATCTGTTTTTTTAAAAGATAAAAGTCAAAATGACATTCTGTTGACAATACAATGTAAAATTGTCAAGCTTTAAATTTTTTTATGTAGAGAAGGCTTGTGTCGCCAACATAGTTACCAAATTTTTGACTTGGGGAATTATCTTTAAAAAAAAAAACATAAAGTCTGTTTTTTATTTAAAGATAATTCCCCAAGTCAAAAATTTAGTAACTATGTTGGCAACACAAGCCTTTTCTACATAAAAAAATTTGAAAGCCTTGACAATTTCACATTGTATTGCCAACATAATGTCATTTTGACTTTTATCTTTAAAAAAAAACCAGACTTTACTTTAGGTGAAGCGTGGCAGCCGAAAGCAGCAAGTATGCATAAAGCAAAGGCCCGCGGAATGATAACCTAGGAGTGCGTTCGAAATTGATTTGGGCGTCACACCAAGTGCACACTACAGTGACTCTATTACCCACAGTGGCGACAATTGCTGTCTTATTTTTGATTGGTTCTAAAATCCCATATATTTATATTGAAAACGCCGCCATCTTGTTCCCACCTATTGCTTATTTCAAATATGAATATATGGGATTTAGGTGAATATCCATCATAAAACAGGGAAAACAACGTATTTGATAGACCTTATAATGGTCATCAAATATGTCGATTTCAATTTTTTATGATAGATGTCCATTTAATCTTATATATCAATATTTAAAAGTAACAAGAGGTTGGGAACAAGATGGCGGCGGGACCTCTATTGTCGCCACTGTATGTAAAGGTTTATTTAGCCACTGTAGTGCACACCAGCCGTTCGAAAATGAATTGGTATAAGCTCCGGTTAACTTTCACGCTAGTTCGAAAATATCCGGGGTGCTACCCAGTGTGCACTCTTTCTCAACCAACTCTGCCGCTGGGTAAATTTTCCTCCTGTCAATCTTGTCAGTTTTTCATTATTTAAGGGCGGGTATTATAAAACTGCTTTGATAGTTAACTTGAAGTTAACTTTTTGAATTACATGTATTTCCAGAAGTTAACTCTCAAAGCAGTTTTATAATACAGTGACTCTATAACCCACAGTGGCGACAATTGCTGTCTCATTTTTGATTGGTTCTAAAATCCCATATATTTATATTGAAAACGCTGCCATCTTGTTCCCAACCCCTTGTTACTTTTAAATATGAATATATGGGATTTAGGTGAACATTCATCATAAATCATGGAAAACAATGGATGATGGAACTAATAATGGTCATTAATTACGTCGACTTCAATTTTTTATGATAGATGTCCATTTAAATCCTATATATTAATATTTAAAAGTAACAAGAGGTTGGGAACAAGATGGCGGCGGGACCTCTATTGTCGCCACTGTATGTAAAGGTTTATTTAGCCACTGTATTTTATAATACCCACCCTTAATCTACTACTTTCATAATAAAGCCTAGTACTCATAACTGCGAAATCCGCTCTTTTTTGACATAGCTTCGACAATTTGACGTTTGATGCGTGAATCAAACGTCAAATTGTCGAAGCATTGTCAAAAAAATGCGAAATTCGCGGTTATGAGTACTAGGCTTATTTGTTTTATTTTACGTTTCTCGGAAGTTGTTGTTGATAATAGGCACAAACAGATAAATGGAATGCACAGAACACTCAAGGAGAATACAAACTCTAAGGAGTGCTTATCGGCCTCATTTTTGGTAATCGCCGCCATATTGGTTTTCAACTGTTTTCAACCATTGCTGACGTCATAACTAAGTCGTCAGTTGTTTAAACAACCTACGACAAGGCGCGAAACGCCATGCTGCTCACGTCACAACTGGTTGTTTGAGGGGTGGGGGGGTAGAAGGGGATTTTTTACACACAGGCCTTATGAGGATAGCACACCAGAAAAAATTGACTCCTCTGACCACGTGACCATATACCCACTCTAACCCTTGGTAAAATTTAACCCTTTTTCGAACGCACTCCAGCGTTGCCTTAACAAAAAGCACTCTGGGTGTGAGAG